TATCATGCAGCTTCTTGTCCAGTCATAGCATCGATGACTAACAACACTTCTGTGAGGTTCAGAACTTTCTTCACATCCTTTAATTCTCAAATCACCTAAACTACTTTAAAATCTTTACTAGATATCTTATCAAATCACCTAAAGATCTTTATTTGTGTTTTTAAAATTTCATCCAAATCACTCAAATAACTTCAAGACTTACCTAAAACAAGAGATCCAATCCATCTCGTCATCAGCCACTTGAGACTCAATCAGATCAAGTACTCTCAGCTTTCTGAAACAAACCAATAAAAAAAAATGTAAAGCTTTAATTTTCAAAACGAATCTCTAAGAGTAAAGAGAGATCTATAGACTGTTAACCTGCACTTGTTGGCAACAAGAACGATATCACTAGTCCCAAAACCTTCACAACAAAGCAAGACAAGTTCCTTGAAACCAGGAAACGACTCAGCGAGAAGAGCCAAGTCATCATCAGTAACAAACATCCGTTTCAAACAAACATTCTCAAACCAAGGGTAAGCCTTTGCTGCTTCAACAACCCAAGGCGTGAACTTAGCTCCCCATTCACGTAACGAACACAAGCAACTAAAAAAAGCTGCAGTGAATACATAAATCTACATGCTACTAGAGTTCTGCAATCAATATTATTAGCTGTGTTAGTGTCCATTAAATCTATCAACAGATCTTAACAATGACGCAGCTGGCAAACACAAGAATTCACCAAATCAACAAGAGAACATCGAAGACAAAGAACTTTAAATTGATTCAAAACATTATTCCAGATTCAAACCGGAGATAAATTCATGCAACCAATCGAAAGAATAACCGATTTGAATTACGTAAGGAAGAGATCGTACAGGGAGATTCGAGGAGGAAGAAGAAGAGGACGGCGAAACGGAATCATCTGGAAATAGGTGCATGACGCCGCGAGTCTCCCCGATTCTAGGGTTCCCCGAGGAAAAATGAACAGTCTTACTCATCTCGGAGAGAGACGATTCGCCGGAAAGACTTGCTAACGGTGGAACAACCGATTTCGCCGGAGATTTGTAAAAAAAAAATCAGGTTTGACACATGAATTGAGGGGTAAAATAGTATTTTGCCTATCAAAATTTTAAGTGTAAAGTTGGTTAATGTAAAAGTGAAATAGTGTATCATCAAAGTGGTAGTTTTAGCAATTTCCCTATTCAAATCCCCTAGCACTTAAAACCCTAAAAGTAACTCCAAAAAAGAACAGCAAAAATTAATTTTGATTAAATCAAAACTTGTGATTCTCGTATTTCAACTTAACAACAATATAGTACTTTGCATTGATTCTAAACTCAAAAACATCTGAATAAAACTAAGAAAAGTGCATGAATTTATACAGTTTACCAAAGACTC